CACGCGTTTAGACCGACGAAAATTTTCATTCAGCCAGCGGGTTGTCAGGCCGTGGAACTCGCTTCCGAGCGAGATGGTTTGTGTGTTTAAAAGAAAACTTGCTTGTCTATTTTTCGACAGAAATCGGCTTGAACAGCATGACTATACACAGCCAGTTTTGTAAAATCTGTCATATAGAACCCTTCCGCACTAATTCACAGTGACCTTATGCACTACCTTATCATAACGATTGGACTGTGACCCGATCACATTGTAAATGTCTGCAATTTTATCTTTAAGAACGAATCTGCGAAAGCACTGTACATACATAGGGTCATCAAGGGCTCTGCCTGCAACCCTTCAATATATATATATATGTACTGGAAGATGGGCATCCCAAGAAACATAATTTGAAGAAGAATGAGTCCTTTGAGAAAATGAACAAACTTTATTTCGTAAATTTTCGAGTCTGGTTCCCCAGCTCGATTCAGACGTGTAATAAGTGTGAAGAAACAGTCAAAATTTAGACAATGCCGAAAAAATCGATATTGCTCTGTCATGACTGAGGATGGGCTAATGCTGTGGGCTGATGTCACGTCGTGATTGGCTATTACCTTTTCCATTTTTCTTTGAGACTTGTGTACATGGTATCAAGGTCGATGCGTCGATTGATGCATGAATCATCAGAGTGAATGGCCTCTAGGAATTCTCGGCCTTTCTTATATGGGCAGGAACCGACAATGCGTGTTTTATCCCAAGCGAATTTGTGCCCAGTTTCAAGAGTATGCATGGCGACTTGGGATAAGTGGTCCCGCCTCTTCACTGCCATTTGGTGTTCATGTAGGCGTGTAGAGGCGGATTTTCCGGTTTGACCACAATACACTGCATTACAAGTGCCACATGGAATCTTATAGACTACTTCTTTCTTATCCAAATAGCCAACCCTATCCTTAGGGTGTACAAGCTGATTGCGTAGCGTGGTAGTCCGTTTGTGAGCCACTTGTATTTGGTGCTTCCTCAGGTGTCTTGCAACGAGTTCAGACACATTTTTAATGTAGGGAAGCGTTCGCCAGTGTTTTGGTTTTGGCGTCTGATCGGAACAATCTAGTTCCTTCTCTCTTTCTTTTGATTCCTGCTCTTTCATGCATCTGCGTACAAAATCTCTGGGGTAGCCGTTTTGGGAAAATAGGTTGAATAGATAATTGAGTTCTTTTTTGTAACCTTCGTTCTCAGAGCAATGTGTCTTTGCTCGATTAAGTAGGGTCTTAACAGCACTCCGTTTGTGAGCCATAGGGTGGTTGCTCTCGTAATGTAGGATGACTTCCGCGTAAGTTTCTTTGCGGTATACTGATGTCTGGAATGTCCCGTCAGTTTTTCGCTGTACGAGGACATCAAGAAATGGAAGTGTGCTGTTAGCTTCTCTTTCGAGCGTGAACGTAATTCCCGGTAGTGTTGAGTTGATAGCTTTATGCAGAGTTTCTAGTTGATCTCTCTTGACGATGACAAAGGTGTCATCGACGTAGCGTACCCACAATTTGGGATTGAATAATGGTAAGGCCATAGTCTCTAATTTTTGCATTGTGACTTCAGCCAAAAATCCAGAAATAGGTGACCCCATAGGAGCCCCTTTCAGCTGTCGATAACATTCATGTGCGAACGAGAAGTTCGTTTCCAGACATAGGTCCAAAAGCTCAAGCAAGGCAGATGCAGGAACATCCATGTCGTAGGACTGTAAGAGTTCTTCTGTGCACTGCCTTGCCAAATCGAGTGGTATGGACGTGAATAGAGAGATGACATCGAACGACACCATTATCTCATCTGATTCAATAGTGAGTCCTCTTATCTTGTCTTGGAATTCAACTAAATTCTCGATCGAAGTCTCACAATCCTTTGTTAAGGGATGGAGTTTGTGGAATAGCCATTTAGAGATTTTGTGATTCGGTGCACCGATAAGTGATACTATCGGTCGCAATGGTACGTCAGGTTTGTGGACTTTCGGTAGTCCATAGATTTTAGCGATTGTTGGTTCAGTTTGTCTCAGGGATTTCGCGATTTCTCCTGGTAGTTGTTTCTTTCCTGCAAGACGTTTCAGCACTTTATCAATGGATGAAATTTGTGCTTTGGTAGGGTCAGTGGTGAGGGGCATATAAGTTGACCTATCTTCTAACAACGATAGCATCTTGTTATTGTAGTCTGCTTTGTTTAAAATTGCCGTTGAGCCTCCTTTGTCTGCAGGAAGAATGACAATGTTCTTGTCAGATTTCAGGGTTTTTAACGCCTTCATTTCCTCGCGTGACAAAACTGAAAAGTAGCTTCGGTTCTTTAGGGCCTGTACAGTGCTATTCCGAATGACGAAACGTTCATCATCAGTGAGATCTTCTGACGATATGATGGACTCCAGGTTTGCAAGGAAGTCTAGGTAGTTTGAATCGGAGAGGTTGTATTTCATACCCTTGGAAAGCACATCTTCTTCGGTTATCGTAAGGGCTCTCGATGACAAATTTACTACCTTAGTTGGATGATTGTGGTTTGCATGTGTTAGTACAGACATGGACATCCACTTCTTGTCTAAAATACTCTTCTTTTTCTGCCGTTCGATGTCGGAAACGTAGGTTATTGTTTCGCACAGAGATTTAAGTAAGTGTGGAGGAAGATTTTCTTGACAAAATTGCATGTGCTGTTCTCTAGACAATCGGAATTTCTGAAGTCTTTAATGGGCATCAGTTATGTATGCGCCAAGCATGCTTCGACCGTAACAACATGCAATTTGATATCCTTGAGGTGATTTTATAGGAGGTTTCACTCTGACAGATTTCGGCAATATCTTCATTTTTCGGCATTTGTGTAAAAACGACAACTGTTCTCGCGTTAAAATTTCGCGAATTGCACACTTCTCCCACCGTCTAGCTCGTAGCAAAACTTCGCGATCGTAATTCATACTGGGCACAAATTCGCTTGGGATAAAACACGCATTGTCGGTTCCTGCCCATATAAGAAAGGCCGAGAATTCCTAGAGGCCATTCACTCTGATGATTCATGCATCAATCGACGCATCGACCTTGATACCATGTACACAAGTCTCAAAGAAAAATGGAAAAGGTAATAGCCAATCACGACGTGACATCAGCCCACAGCATTAGCCCATCCTCAGTCATGACAGAGCAATATCGATTTTTTCGGCATTGTCTAAATTTTGACTGTTTCTTCACACTTATTACACGTCTGAAGACGAGCTGGGGAACCAGACTCGAAAATTTACGAAATAAAGTTTGTTCATTTTCCCAAAGGACTCATTCTTCTTCGAAATATATATATATATATATATATATAAACACTCCTATAAAGCACTGCCGATACACATACGCTGAGATTTGACTGTAAGAAAATAGGCTGACCATTTCGGCAGTTTTCCACCTAAGCCCATTTGAAGCTGTTTTGTAGTGTGAAAGCGGCGTAGAGCCACGGCCTAAGGCGCCAAACAGGGAACCAAGTCGGCGACGTGAGTCACGCGCGAAGTTATACGACCGACCGGCGCGCACTGCAGCGCCGAGCACGCGTAGTGGCTTTGCTCACGTGTGCGGCCCAATCAATGGATGGTCGAACATTCCGGACGTTTACGCGGGGGGCTATCGCGCACGCGGTGGCCAATCAGCGACCAGCACGCTCGGGGCAGGAACATTCTAGAACGCCCTCAACGGCTGGCACTTCATTGGACGGAATGTTCCAGAACGCACGGGAACCAATATAAATAGCACACCTTTCTTACGAGTTGAAACCCCCTCCTGTTCGCAAGTTCCAATGAAGTGCTTGTCCTCCGAACCGGCTCTCTTCCTGTCCTACCTTCCTTCCGGGTCATAACAACTGGCGACGCAGGTGCAGCAAAATGATATCAGAAGAACAAATGAAACACATAATGGAGGCCCAGCAGGCCAGCTTCATGCCATTACTCACGGAAATGCAGCGAAATTGGGGACCGGCATCCAGAGAGAACAAGAGGAAACAGATCGAACAACGGATCACCGAGTTCGTTTAGGATCCAGAGGGAGGCGTGAATTTTGATGCCTAGTTTCGAAAGTTCGAAGGACTGTTCGAAGAGGAGGGAGCAGAACTGGACGAAAAGACGAAAGTGGAAATCATTCTGCTGAAACTGGCCCAACGGGAACACTAGCGGTACGTAAAGTTCATTCTGCCTCAGAAACCATCAGATGTCTCGTTTAAGGACACAGTCAAGCATCTGAAAGCATTGTTCTGTTTTACAAAGTCTTTATTCAATCGACGTTATGAATGTTTTAAGCTAGAACGTAAGCCTGAAGAAGACTATTTTGACTTGGCTGGTCGATTTAATGATAATTTTCAACAAGCCAAGCTAGAACAGGCCACCAGCACACAGATTACTATTTTTCATTAAGTCGTTGACGTCGCCAGAAGATGCAGATGTGCGCACGCGGTTACTCGCCCAGCTAGACCGGAAAGGCGATATGACAGTACAGAAACTGGCAAAGGAATGTGTCCGAATCAAAAATATCAAACATGACACCCAGCTTATTGGAAGCACAAATAGTCAGTCAGCTTACGTTTTCGACACAAAATCGAGACAATCACAACCGAATAGAGTTTCTCCACGGAAGCCAAAGACGGCTTGTTGGCTGTGCGGCGGCTGGCACTACGTGAGTGAATGTCCCTATCGTAGTAGGAAGTGCTACAAATGTTCCCGTGTTGGCCATAAAGCTTCACATTGCAGAGGAGCGCACACTAGCCCAAGAAAGAATTGTCATGTCATTTTAGAAGACGATTCGCAAGTACTCAAGTGCGAACACCGGAACTACTCGACAGTGAATATTAACGAAAATCCGACCACATAACAAGTAGACACAGCTTCTGATCTGACCATAATCAGCATGCGCACATGAGAGGACATCGGTTCTCCAGAACTGAGACCATCAGAGACCATAGCGTGGGCGTCGAACGAGACGCGTATGGAATTTCAAGGCGTTTTCCAGGCGACTGTCAGTTTTCCAAACATGACCTGCCTCGCAGATGTCTATGTGTCGAAGACCCATAACAATCTTCTCGGAAATAAGACGACCTCCGAACTGGGATTGTGGAACCGTCCCTTTGACGAAATTTGCAGCTCGGTACACAACACTACTGAGGAGGTCCTGAAGAATAAGTATATGGAACGTATGGAGAACGCGGCCGGCAGGTGCACGAAGACGAAGATAAGTTTGAACGTGAAGCCGGAGAAAAAGCCAGTCTTCAAGCAGAGTCGACGAGTCCCGTTTGCGGTACAGTCGTCCGTAGAAGCTGAACTGGAAAGGTTACATGCAAAAGGCAAAATTTATCCTACCAATTATCCAGCTTGGGCTGCCCCAGTCGTGGCGGTGAAGAAACCCAACGGACAAATACGATTGTGCGCGGATTATTCAACGGGCCTGAACGACGCACTAGAAGATTATCATTACCCGCTGTCAACCTTAGAGCAGATTTTTGCTACTCTAAATGGAGGGAAAGTCTTTACAAGGATCGATCTACCCGAAGCTTACTTGCAAATTGAGGTGGACGAGAAATCGCAGGAACTTTTGACCATTAATACGCACAAGGGTCTCTTCAGATACACTCGCCTAAACTACGGCGTGAAAACGGCACCTAGTGTGTTGCAGCAGATTATGGATACGATGCCTACGAATGTTCCCGGGACTATTGCATATCTGGACGATATTTTGGTTGTCGGTAACTCAGAGGAAGAGCTGACTCAAAGGCTGGACCAAGTTGTGGACAATCTGATCGACTACGGCCTTAAGATCAATATGGAGAAAAGTGAATTTTTGCGGAAGGAGATCCACTATCTCGGGTTCATTGTCAACGAGAATGGGCTTGCCCCTGACCCACAGAGAGTGAAGGCCTTCCAGAACATGAAAGTGCCGAAGAACACGAAGGAGCTGCAATGGTTTATGGGGTTGGTCAACTACTACGGTCCGTTCATCACTGGGTTGCACAGTTTAAAACCTCCACTCAGCCGACTTCTGTGCAAGAACGTGGAGTTTGTTTGGTCACCAGAATGTCAAAACGCATTTGATGCCATAAAGACAAAGATATGCGACTCAACTATGCTATCGCACTTCGAGGCTGACAAAGAAACTATTGTCCAGGCAGACGCCTCTGATTACGGTTAAGGCGGAGTTCTCCTTCAGAAGGAGGCAGATGGGAGAGTCCAGCCAATCATGCATGCCGCCAGGTCACTGACGAAGGCAGAACGGAATTATAGCCAGATTGCAAAGGAGGCACTGGCCATTATCTTCACCGTACAGAGATTCCACCTGTTTATTTATGACAGACCCTTCACACTGCACACTGATAATCAACCACTGAAGTTCCTTTTGGGTACTAACCGTGGTGTTCCCCAGAACGTAGCTAGGAGAATACACCGCTGGAGTACTATTCTTCAAAACTATGACTTTCAGATCCAATATGCGCCCACTCAAAAGTTTGGAGCTCAGGACGCTTTATCACGACTGAGTACAGACAACGAAAATCAAGAAGACATGGTTGTCGCCAGTACGCTAATGCAAGATGATGACAAGTTTAGAGGTGTCAGCCGACAGTTACCGCTCACAGCCCAGCACATCAGGGCCACCACTGCAGCAGACCCACTTTTGCGCCAGGTGAAAGAGTTTATTCGGAAGGGTTGGCCCAGCGACGACAAAGTACACCCATGGATAAAGCCTTTCAGGAACAGAAAGGAACAGTTGTATATCACGGAAGACTGCATAATGTGCGATGGTAAAGTGGTGATTCCAGCCAGATATCAGCAGCAAGTTTTGCGGGAGCTCCATGCCGGACATCAGGGTATGACCCGCATGAAACAACTGGCCCGCAAGTACGCATATTGGCCGGGAATTGATAACGACGTGGAATCTGTCGTTCGAAGCTGCGGCCCGTGTGGACGTGAAGCTAAGAACCCATCGAAAGTACCGCCCGTGCCATGGCCAGAGGTAACGAGACCTTGGAGTAGAGTCCATATTGACTTTGCGGGTCCGTTTTCCAACCGAATGTTTCTAATAGTTGTCCAAGTGGCTAGAAGTTTTCGAGGTCTCGGCAGCTACTGCTGATATCACGGCAAGGAAAACGGAAGAAGTAATAGTGAGATACGGCATCCCCACGGAGATTGTGACGGATAACGGCACTCAGTTTACGTCATCAGTTTTCCAACAACTGTGTCAGAAATGGGGAATTCGACATGTGACGTCACCACCATTCCATCCATAATCGAATGGCCAGGCAGAACGTTTCGTCGACACTTTCCAGAGAGCGATGAAAAAGATGTGGAACACTGGTGTTAACCTGGAATATCTCAACACATTCCTCTTTGCCTATCGAACAACTCCAAAAAGTGATCTTGGGGGCCAGACACCAACCGAACGGTTTTTGGGACGACAGCCGGATACGCGATTACAGTACCTACAACCGGAAGCTCGAGTTCCACAAACAACAAAACATTACTTTCGCGAGAGAGAGGAGATGTTTGCTCGCAACTACAAAGCCGGAGAGAAGCCCTGGATAAAAGGTATAATAAGAAAATCCAGAGGTGTTGTGTTCGAGGTGGAGACGGCAGCTGGAAAAATAACGAGGCATGCAAATCAGCTCAGGACTCGACACACCAGAGACAGTCAAATGGCACTCGACTTGCTTTGTGATACCTTTGAGGTTCCAGCCCCCAGGGTAGACAGTCAGACAACATTACCCGTCGTTCGTAGAAGTAGCAGAAGAACGCAACAGCCAAGGAAACTGGTCTTGGACCCAAAGAAGAAGAGATACGAGGTTCAACTTACAAAAGCGGGAGGCGTTATGGAGAGTGAAAGTGGCGTAGAGCCACGGCCTAAGGCGCCAAACAGGGAACCAAGTCGGCGACGTGAGTCACGCGCGAAGTTATACGACCGACCGGCGCGCACTGCAGCGCCGAGCACGCGTGGTGGCTTTGCTCACGTGTGCGGCCCAATCAATGGATGGTCGAACATTCCGGACGTTTACGCGGGGGGCTATCGCGCACGCGGTGGCCAATCAGCGACCAGCACGCTCGGGGCAGGAACATTCTAGAACGCCCTCAACGGCTGGCACGTCATTGGACGGAATGTTCCAGAACGCACGGGAACCAATATAAATAGCACACCTTTCTTACGAGTTGAAACCCCCTCCTGTTCGCAAGTTCCAATGAAGTGCTTGTCCTCCGAACCGGCTCTCTTCCTGTCCTACCTTCCTTCCGGGTCATAACAGAAGCAATTTGAATATAAGTCGTTTGTGCGGAACACTCTAGAAAGCCCTCCTGAAGTCATTGTACACCGCGTCTACTGGTAAACCTTATTCGATTGATGTCGTCCACCTCTCGATAGATATGAGCAGGTTGGTATGACAGCATCTACCCCTTTTAAATTCATGGTGATACAAACTGAGCAAGTGGTTCTCATCAAGATGCCGAGTAAGCTCCGTTTTTATGAACCTCTCATCAGTTTGCAGCAGATGCTTGTAAGACTCGTTGGTCTGAAACCATTTTGGGCTGCTCTCTCGCTGCTTTATATATGTGGCTTATGTTGGCTTAGTTCCGGTCAGTAAGCTGAGTTCCAGCCTCCGCCGAAGTTCTTAGGATCTTGGGCAGCGGAGGGGTCAATCGGTTTTGAGAGTTAATTCAGGACTTTTGCGAGTACGCCGTCCAGTCCAGGCGATTAAGCGGGCTGTATTTGTCTCGAAGTTTCCCGGTCTTGTCTATTGTGAAGGCCACCGTGTTAATCGTAATGTTTATTTTGGCAATTAGGGGGGAGGGAATAAGCTTTCACTAAAAGCCGGCTCCTAAGCATACACGGACGTGAAAAAATCGGATAAATAGTTCGCCTCGACAGAATTATCAGACAATTTATTTCTCTAACAATCGTTTGGACTGGGAATGCAGTCCCGATTGCGTTCTGCCTTATTTATGCAGCCAAAAATTTTCTCGGAATTTAGTGGCACTTTTTTGACTCAAATTTCACTCGTACCCTTCTCAGTAGGTCCCGACATATGTTTCCTTGGTTTTTTAAAATAGGTAAACTGGTCTGAGGGTTAACATCTGGCGCACTTTCTTCAAAATCTCCTATTCAACCTAAGGATCTTCTTTATTTCTGTCATCAACCGCTATGGACGGGAAGTACGCGTCCCCCTCCCAAGTGGGCACATGCTCTCTACAAAGTACTACATTACGTTCTTGAAGAGGCGCCAATCGTTTTCTGGATCAGGCGCCCGTGCAGCGTTCCAGTCCATCTTCGTTAGCAGATTTTTGATTCGGAAATAGCTCCCTTTCCATACATTTCGTTCATCGACAGCTTTAATCTGAGATAAAGAAGAATGAGTTCACCTCCAGACAAAAGCCTAGCAGTCACTTTGGCTAAGATGCGTGTGAGAATCCGATCAGGGAATGCAGCTATCGTCCATAGTAATGATAAGATCCAAACAGCTTTGCGGCCGTTCGTCCCGGAATCGTGAGTCCATTATAATGTGCTGAAGTGCAGCTAATGAATGCTTAACTGAATGAATGCCTTGACTGAATGAACTGTTCGAGATAGTTTCCTGATCGTGTACAATGCATCGGTTCCTAGCCGATGTCTGGAGAGCTAAAATCTCTAAGTAGTATTACGTGTTTGCCATGACAGATTTCTTTTACCTCTGGCATGAGTGCCTCGTCCGTTTCCTTTCGCTCTCCCAGGAGTCTGTATACTAAGGCAATACGGAGGTCCGGCTGGCTTAGTGCATTTTATTTACAACTGCGGATTCCTTAGCTGGCGCTCCCCTTTGGGGAGAACCCATCAGTAACGTAGTTAATACTACCCCATAAGAACACCGCGATTTCCTCAACCTCACGTCTATTTTGACACGTAGGGATAAACTGAAATGCGTCCAGCCTGACTTATGCGTCCACTGTCAGTGCATTTAACCTTGTTTTAAGTTAATACTATAAAGTCGGGTTCTAAATGGGTCACAGTCAGAATAATTTCATTGATTTTTTTGAAAAGTCTGCATATTGGTATATATAGTCGTCGTGTTTCTTGGTCCTCTTGGTCTCTGGAAACTGTTTGTCGGCTTTTTCGCCAAGGAAAATTTCTTTAGTCAATAGCGACAGCTGTTCTTCAGAGCATCTCTTTGGTCCAGCCCCAACTTTATGAAAAGAAATGGCGACTGATAATATCCGATGCAATGCTACTCCTCCCTTAATTGGCTGTCGACATTTCATGAGCAGCAGTTTTTTTTCTCCTGAACCCTCCAGACTAAAAAAAACCACCATCACCTTTATTTTTTGCGTGAGGAGTTGTTTTCATTGCTGACCGGATTTGTGTTTAACCTTCTGCCTGCTGCTTGCTTCCCAAGACGACTTTTATCGGCCTTTGCCAGATTTTCTCCTCCATATTTCAGCAGTCACTGCAAAGCGCAGGAGACCCCAGTCGTCTCCTGAAGTAGGAATGAAGTGTAGTCATAGTGTCGACCTAATGTTCCACGTACACTGGGTGCCTCATAATTGACCTCCAGCGTACCTTGTTTTGGACCTTAAGCAGCCACTTCGGTATGTATTCAGCTGATAGAGTTGTCGGTTGTCTTGACGTGTGTCCAGTATATTTGCATCCGTAACTACATTCAAACTCATAAATACAGTTTGATTTGACGTGGATAGGCAGAATAACTTTAGCTGGTCTAACTAGAATGGTCGTTGTAGTGCTTATGAACAACGATTAAGAGGCAGCGTTCGTCCGTTCAATCGTGTACCGAAGTCATCGTTTGGACAAATTAGACAGAGTATAAGAATCGAAAGGGAGGTAGATGCTCATGGGTCTTTTCAGCACGGATGTTTCCGCAGCATCTCCTTGTCTGGAATGGCGAAACTTGCCGACGAATCACTCTGGATACCCGTTTCCAAGAAGAACGTTATTCAGGAAACTGCATTTGCCATCGATCGTATGCGAGGAACAGAATCTAGTGGCTCTATTATAGAGGCACAAAATCAAGCTTCGTGTGCTCTGATTTGGAACGAAACTGAGGAAGTGAATAAACAGTCTTTTACAGGTGTTACTTCAATAAGTGGATCTGTGAATGGAGCCGTCTGCCGCCTACGTACAAGAACATCTACTAAAGACCTGTGCTTCGTTCATAGTCTTAA